TACCAAACCTAATGGGCTTATCATTACTCTAACCACACTACACCTCATGTCTAACCAAATTGTTGTATGCAAATGCTCAGTTAGTTATTTTTTTATGCCCATCACTGTGGCACATTGGCTTATTTTACTTTCCCACTTTCATATTTCCATTTGGGTGAAGAGTGTACCCTGCATGAGATGGATGCAGTATCCCATGAGTATTACCTATCTAGTAAGCCCTCAATGTAGGGTGCCACATTTCACGCACTTTCATCTTCAGTCACCTTCTCCGAAGGGAACTCATCTAGGTTTTTGCAATTGCACCAGTCCCTCCACCATATCAGTGTGGGATTCTAGTTACTGCATACATAGGGATAAGCATATTGTTTCAGAAGTTAACATTTTTCTTTCCTGAAAATGTATTTCTGATAGATGCTTACCTCTTTGCATAACTTGTGCAAATTATTCTTCCTCTTTTAAGAATGAAGTTAATTTGGAGAGGGAGTGCTTAAGGTGATCTATTTCGCATAGAGGATGTCACCCTCCTGTTGTTGGAGGGCTGTTGTCACATGATGATTACATCAAGTACTAGTGCAGTTGATGTTATAACATATAACTTAGCCTGGTAGGAACAGGACCAGCCTATGCAGGAGCCTCCTCTTAATTCCGGTTCAGAGATGGCTCTTCACTAGCCGGCTGAGTTGAGCATGGCCCTTCTTTTTGGTCATTCTCTTCATTTCAATGATCATGGAAGAGGGTCCTCAACTCCTCATAATTCTGCATGCAGAGCATAAATTCCTGTACCATTGGTTGGACTCCTCATAATTCTGGGAGCAGGAGGTTTTGCCTTGCCCCTCAGGTTGGGAAGTTAGGATTTTGGTTTGTAATCAAAGGCCGAGTAATCTCTCTTTCCTCAGGTTGAGTGAGGTGTGACAGATCTCATAATTCCTAGTTTGATGTGTTACATTTTTCTCTTTTTCAGGTTGGGATGAGGGCTTGTCCACTTGGTGTTGCTTGCCTTCTCTTTGTAATTCTGGTGGCTTGACATGCAACATTCTGTAACTTTCAGGTTGGGTTCCAATAATACCACATTACTAATCAAGACCAAATACAAAGCAGTCCTCATGCCCTAGCCACTGGGTCTTAGATCTCAATTTGGGTTCACAGCCCTATAATTCCAGTGATGAGACATGGGACCTTATCTACCTGGTTGGGGCCTGGACGAATGCATGTTCTTCTTATGAGGTTCAGATCTTGCTTCTGTGGCCAGTTGGCCTTACTACCCAGGAATTAGATTTCATGTTGTCTGAGCAAAGAGCATACATGTTCCAGAAGTAGCGATGACCCCACTAGTGTGCTATTTCTATGTCTCATTTTTGCACACCTTTTTTCTCTGCAGATGCTTTCTGTGTGGATCTTGCCCCCACCTACTTCTCCATCTTACCAATGTGGAATTTTAGTGACAGTGACACTTTCAAGAAGATCATTATGTACATCAACCATAAATCATATGGCCATGCAACACATAATTAGAAAAATAATCAGTGAAAATGCACTTCTCAAAAAATAAATGCTCTGTTTAAACATTATAGTAGTTTGCTTAACATTAATGACTGTAAAGCACATTTGTGACTAGTATGGTCAGTATGTCTCCTACTTAACTCATCAAAATGACATAGATGAAAAAGAAAAAAAGTGTTACCATTTCCCATTATATCTTTAAACTTTTAATATATTGAAATGTAGAGAAAACAATTTTTTGAATATATTGTAAAGAAATAATAAAATGTACTTAATTGGTGATTATACTGTTACATCTCTGTATGTTCGTTTGTTAATTTTTCTGCAATACAAGTCCTTTCTTAAATAAAACTAGTTTATTCTTCCACAATACAACTTTGCAATACACTTAATTTCCACAGTTACTTTAACTTAAACACACGCTATAATTCACAACAATTCACTCACTTTACTACCGAGCTTGACTTAATTGTCCGTCTCTATCTCCGCCTGTCAGCAACTATAGTTCCGATCTCTGTATCTGCTATCCTCGGTTCCCACCGACCGTAACTGCTGTCCTTGGTTCCCCACTCTCTCTCTGCCTTTTGTCTAGCGCAATTATGTATGATAATAGCGCCTGCGTAGTCTCTTCAAGAATCTTCTAGACACTCATCATGTCCAACCAGCATCACTTGACTTCCGCTGTCATAACAATACAGTTTGTTCAATTTACATCATTTGCTCAACATTACTGTTTTTTACATTATTCCATTTGAATTAACTTTGTATGTACAGTAATGTTGAGCAAGATACCACTTACATCAGGGTTGTCCAACTTTGTGTGAATGGCAGATTACATAGAACTTTTAGTGTCATCTCAAAGGCAATTATACTAATCTAATTTTTGATAAACAACAACCTGTTTTAACTTTTTGTAGGAAGCAGAACTTCAGTAAGTTACTCTGATGAAATTATAACACTTTATGACAAGTTTTTAAAATTTAAATATTTTGTGATTTTCGATACAAGTCTCTAAGCCATCTTAGGAAAAAAAATCTAAGTGAAAGCCTAGTAGATAAAGAATTGGATAATGCTGGGGAGCAAGATAAGTTTATTATTTGTGACTCTATTTGCCTGATTTGCTAGTTAAAGATATTTAAGGCATTACAAAACAGTTTTTTGTACTTTATTTTGATAACAAGCACTGTATTTAAAAATTAAATTGTCTAGTGGCAGATGAATGCAGCAGTATAACAGTCTCATAAGTTTATAATGAACTAGAAAGAATAAGATGTTTACACCAGGTACTAAATTTTGGATGGGGCCAGAATTATGCTGGATGTGCATGAGATGTACAAACCCTTGGAGACAAGTTAAAGAGAGCTAACAAATGCAACATATGACATATTCAGCTGCTGGAATCATCATGAGGATTTTGAATTGGCCAGGTTCATCTATTGCTATGCCTCTAATTTACACATTTGCAATACTTCCATATCAAGTATAGGATAGTGTAAGAAATTGTAATAACAATGAACCCATGGTTAGAACATTCTTTTTTTTTCCTGATGTTTTGTCAATCTTTTTTCATTTTTATATCATGGATTTCATGTATTATATCTTGTGATCACAGCTTAGTATTAATATCTTTAACATTACTGGGTAGAATGCTTAATATCTTTAGATTTACTATTTTTAATCTTGTATGATTATACTGTTACGTCTCAGTTTGTTAATTGATTTTCCATAAATTCGTTCAGACGAAACTTTAGCGACACGAGTCCTTACTTAATAAAACTGGTTTATTCTTTCTGAATATAACTTTACGATACACTTAATTTCAACAATCGCGCTAAAACAAACACTATAACAACGAACGTGCTCAACTTCAATAATACTCGCTGACTGCAGATCACTTACTCACTACCTACACACACATTATTGTTCCGTCATGTT